ATTTATGCGCCGGAGTCATAGAAAATTGGATGTTTTTCAAACGAATAAAACATTTCTATGATATCTCCCACATACTTTGTTTAATTTTAATCAAACATAGTAGTACAGGATCCCGCCGCAAAATCACCACGTTCATAGCGTAGTTAATCGAACTAAAATGTTTACATATACATTTATGAATAGGGGAATACATTTATGACAGGTTGCCAGTCAAAAAGTGGCCGCCAATATTTTTATTTAAAAAAGTCAAGTTGCTAAAATACTTCATGGAGCAAGAGCCGAATCGATCCCTCTACGAAACCCTTAACCATTTGGAAGTATCGATTACAGGTTGAGAAATGGTTTTGATGCAGATTCTGTGAAACATGTTCTTCCTTACTCGGGACAGTTGTCCCGAAAATCTTGCGGAGAAAATTGGATTGGATGATTTAGGAAACACTTGAAAAGCATGAAAAACATTTAACAAGTGTTGTTCATGACGAAGGATTTCAAGAACGAGGTTTTAACGATGAATGGGAACGAGAATATTTCCTACTCATTCACCAAAATTAAACATCTGTTCATGCAGCTGCACTTTCATAAGAATGTATCATCTTTTCCACCTACCGATTTCCTTGAGTATTTGAAGTCCACTAAATACTCAATAGGACAACAAGAGGATTGTTCCAAATTCTTGGGGTCCTTGTTGAATACTCTTCGTGAACAGGAAAATAGCAGAATCAATACTCCTGACCGCTCTGGATTGAATGATTTCGTACAGTATATCTCGTCTTGTGTTTGTACATCTATTCCTGGAAAAATTCCCACTAGTTTACTTTATAGTGCATGTTCAAGAGGTAACAAAAACGTATGTGACTTTCTAGAACTCCAACTAGGGTTTCCTAATATGACTGATAACCAGTTCTTGCAAAGCTTTTTGTTGAATCAACGTCTAACAGGAGATGATCAATCGTATTGCCGAATATGCGCCAAACTAACTGACTATTATAAGACAACAAGTATAGCTGAGGCACCAGTCAACCTAATTAATAACACTGATGATCTTCAAACATGACTCAACCTCTGACGGAGGCACCAAACTCTTACGAAGGTTCGAAATACATGAACACTTCGATCTAGCAGACCACTATCATAATCTTCATGCGGTCATTGTTCACTGTGGTCCTGGCGTTGAATCCAGTCATTATTACGCATTGGTCAAAGACGAAACGGACTTGTTTAAGTTTGACTATAGTTGTGTCACTAAATATTCTGGCAGAATCTTGAGTTTATTGGAACCTCTGGAGCCTCTACATTACATTCTATGAAAGAGAGGACAATGGCAGATCAAGATCTTCAGATAATGTGATGCTGCAGGTTTTTCCGGATTTTTCTGCATCGGAAAAAGCAAATGCGCTACTGGAATCCTTCAAGTCGCCCCGGAGCGCCAATTAATTTTTGTTGTCGTTTCATAATTTCATTATATGTATTAATTTTTTATATGAATACAATAAAACTCTTACAGTTATTCTTCAAGCTCCAATCTGAAATGTTATTTATATCCTTTTGCTGATATGTACAGTCTCGGACTGTTTGAATTGATTCAAAGAGTTTCAAATCATCAGCAAAAGAAGACAATCTATATATTTTAGAGTTGACTGTAAATCATTGATGAAAATTATGAAAAGAAGTAGACCTGGATTCGATCCTTGTGGTACACCTGACCTAGCAGGAAATTGCTGAAATTTTTTTGTTGTTTGACAATGAAAAACCGATTTTGAAGATGATTCTACGTTAGTTCCTTTTTTTCAATTCCATATTTACTCAATCATTGTGAAAGTTGTTTTCAGATTTGTTATACTTTATTTAGTTGCCCAGATATAGCCATTGTAGGTACATACATATAGATGGAGCTGAAGATTTTATTTCAGTCGTGTGGTTCGAAGCACACACAATTTTTTTAATTAAAAATATTTTCAGGCACTTTTTCACTGGTAACCTGTCATTTATGTATTATCCTATTCATAAATGTATGTAAATGTCTACGCTATGGACGTAGTGATTTTGCAGCGGGATCCTAGACTATAGGAAGTGCATAATGAAAGACGGACTAGATGTTTTATCATGTTGTTTGCTGTTATGATATTGCTTAATAACAAAGTTTTCGTGGAAAAATGGAACATTATCGATGATATTGTGAGCTCTCGTGGTATTACTGTTGAATAATCTATCTGAACAAATCTCTGTAGACACCTCACGATTGCATTATTGCTCATCAAAGAGTGATAAACCTGGTAGGAGTATTTTGCAACTCTGTAATCCGATAATATTGATGTACCTGTATATATACCACGAAATAATTCAACTGTGAAATTGGGATTTTCTTGGGCTCACCATCGGCAATTTTGAAAACTTACCGTTCCATTTGAAGAGAACGTTGCCTCATCTGTCCATAAAATTTTATACGGAAACTTTACATTTTCTTCTCTCTCTCCTTAAAACCAGAATGAAAACCCCAAACGGACATCAAAATCTCGTTATAAAACGAAGATTTACCAAACATTTTTTCAGCAGGTAACTAACTCTCAAACTAACAATCTCAAACAATTTGATCGTTTCTAAAATCATCGACTTAAATTCCGGAGTCATACTTTAGTGATGGATCCAACAGGTATTAGAATAGAATAAGCAGAATAATTCATACCAAAGAAACGCCAAGACAATATGAAAAAGTTTTTCGACAAATAATCTTTAATTTCGCGTTCCCCACTACCCCCATTTCAAAGATGATGTTGACTGAATAGAGATAAAAAGTGAAAGAGATATCAAACGATGGGAATCGTACCAAAAAAGACAGCTTCAGAAACTTGATACTTCATTGACTCATCAACCCAGTTTGTAAATTCAATTGTTCTCTTAATATAAATTTCACAATACTCATCGTGTCTTCAATATAACCACATATTTTGCAACTAAACAAACTCCGCTTGTTTATTTTTCCTCAAATTCCTAGCCTGAATCTACAATCCAAATGATGATTTTTGAATATATTGATTGAAGATAATTAGAGACCAGATTTCAATACTCTAAAATAACCTCTTCAAGTATCTATATGAGAAAACTGAATAATGAGGCACTAAATAAAATTGTGGGAATTGTATAAAAATTAATCAGTATTTCTCATACTCACATTATTTGATAATTCCATCGCAGTTTTCACTCATAACACAAAATAACTAGAAACTCAGACGATCAAATCTCCCCCTTGTCTGATGCACAACTAATGCTAGCAATTCTGAAAACGCGGCCAGTCTCAGGGATGAAAGTTGCGAAGCTATAAGCGCGGCACGCTTGATAGAAACGCCGCGTGTATGATGTAGACAGAGAACATTCCATTGAAGCGGTATTACTTCTGTGCAAAAACAGCCTGTTGGGCAACCCGGGAAAGCGAGTTTTGGGAAAGTGGTAACTGAATTTGAACGAGGCGGGCATCGTACGATAATTTTTTTAGTGTGATTATAATTCAAGGGATTCAGTCTGGAGTGTAATCGAATGATCTTCGGATGTTTGAACGATTTCCGATTATTTTCGGATTGTTTCGTTTCTCTACACGCGGAACGGAATAGAGAAAATTGGGTACCTCGTTAGGTCGGTTAGTCAAAAGCCCATCAATTATTCACCACTACTTAATTTGTCAAATGCATTGAAAGTAATGAAAATGTATTGAACAAAGCAATGTCATTTGTCATGAGTAATGAATGTATTCGCTTTAAATATTAACACAAAACGTACAGACGACTCATAAGTTTTCAAAATACATTGGAGTATGAATTATGCTACGTTTCTTGAGATCAGGTAATAAATGAAAACTTATTTGTCAATAACTCAATTGAAGGTCAGTCGATAATTTTAACACATTCCTTAAAACGTTACTACAACATACAGAAGCAAAAATTCAAATCCTTACCGTTGTTTAGCGTCTTTTTTTTATGGTGATTGAAACTCCTAAACTTATTTCATGTATACATGTTTATTATTGTAACGCATAACAGGGTCTCTCAGTCAAAAAATCAAAAATCAAACTCTGCTCTACTCTGCCAAGCTTTCACTTCTATTGAGAAGCTTCTTCAGGGCCTATAATTTAATGAGTTGTGAATTTTTTTGCCATTGAATAACATTACAATTCATACTTACAGTANGGTTTCCCTTGTTGACTTGTTTTATGAGTTTTATGTTCTCTGGTGGGGGGAAATTATGTTTGTTTTGTATGGTGTGTGTTGCGAGGTTTGATTTATATACTATTGGATTTATGTATGCCTTTTTGTGAGGACATTTGGGAAAACTTGAACATCCATAAATTCAACAGTCATAAATCACTTATCGAGGAACAAGTACAAATCAAAACACAAGACCTCACATTCAATATATTAAACAAAACCATACACATTCCTAAAGAAGATCCAACACAAAAAATAGGATACACAACAGGATGACAAGTTCAGTTTGAGGAGTGCCTAGAAGATGACAGTACGACCAGCTGTCGAAAGCGCTCGCAGAAAAATAATAGAAGATATAAAGCTTCCTTTTTGTGAAATTTAATATTTAAATACTGAAAATAAAGGAAAATTAGTTGCATCATTCAAAATGACAAATTTATTGGGGTTACCCATTCTCCACTTCGCAAAATTTTGCAAAATCTCACAGGGAGAAAAAACAAATATCTAGATTTGCATTCCGCTCTACTAGACTCCAATCAGACTATGCTCTTGAATTGGTTTTCCTAATTATAGTAGTCTTTGATGAAATGCCTTCCGTCATTCTTGGTTCATTATTGTTTTCACTCAGAGCACCCAATTCTTAGACCCGGGATCACTTGTCTCGCAGTTTTCTGAGTGATTACTGGGTAATTCAGCCGACAAGCCCTCTGAAGACCTAACAGGAAGACTTTTCAGTTGAAAGAACTTGAAAATTATTCAATAAAGAATGAAGCTCATATATGGGGATGTTAAAATAAAGTCTAATTCAACAGTTGATAATTTTAATAATTATTTATTATAACATGAAAACAAAAACAGGATAATAGAGCGGAAAGGATTGAACGTAGACAAAACAGAAATTCGTTTCAGGTTGTTGTCTTGGTGTAATGAATTTTTACTTATATTAAAATCATACTGACTATCAGCGAACGTATCCGTTCAAATTTCTCTGTTCAAAATTATCTGTTCAAATTTCTAGTTTTGATTCTACGTGTGAATCAGAAAAGGAAGTTCGAATAATTATTTACCTAGAAGATATTTTCACTTATTTTTTTGAACATACTGTATTGTTCAACATTCAGAAGTAAATAGTTACTATTTTGTTCTCGAAGAACAAAAAATATGAATCACATAAAAAAGTAACAAAGGCTTACGGACTAATCAAAGTTACTTAATAATAATGTCATTGAGATAAACTAATTTTAAGTATACATAGGTACTAATTCGACTAAATTATATCAGGAAGATTTTATGTAATCTACCAAATATTATAAAACAATATCATGACTGCATCTTATTCCAACAAAATCTGTTGCATAATAGTCAATGGAGTTTTGAAAACAAATAGGAATATCACGAACTACGTGCAAAATTGAAACTGGATTTCATGAAATATAATAAAGTCGTATAACATATCACTTATTCATAAATTCAAAATATATCTTATATTATTGCACATGTAACATTATCTGTTGCTTTTGAGCTTTGAAGGAAATTTTGTTGGTACTAATGTAACCTATTCGTTGTGAATAAAAATATTACACTAATTTTCACTAACAGCTAAATCACATAAAAATTAAGCAGTATAGGCGAGGCTTTCTGTTTATGGAGGCCCTGTATATAGGCAAATCACGTTCATCAGTACGGCACATCCAATTTGAGAAGTAGGGATACAATACAATCCATTTCACGAAAGATAACATAGGAGTACAATCTCATTGAAACTTTTTGAATAATAAGTCGCGCCTATTTCGGCGAATTTGATTCGCTTTATCCCCTAAGGATGCCTAAACTGGATATAAAGTGTAAAAAAATCCATTTTCAGGCTAAAAGCGTTTGTTCAATTTCTTTAGGATCAATGCGATTCATATCGCATTTGATGAATACACAAATTCAAAGTAATTCATTTGTTTAATATTTCGAACAGAAGACAAAAAACTAATCAAGACTGTACCGTACTGAAAAACAGATATGCCTGTAGAATAAATTATAATTCAAGTCCCATGCTCCGCTTTAAAAATACATTTTTTTCTCTCATTATTACTGGAATATAAGGACTCTGAATCATATTTGGCATAGCACTGAAAACTTTGAAATTATCATTTAGAAGAAACTGAATTTCAACTGAAATTCCACAAGTGGTATGTGGATATTAAATGAACCAAAATTGATTTCTATGAAAACAATTAATTCACAGATAATATCAGAATGTTATATCAATCAATATCTGAAAGGGTGAATGTAATAACAAAAGTCCGCAATCTCAAAAATAATATCAAAGAAATAATCAAAATTTTCAGTATAACACCAAATCATCCCTAGTGCGAGACGGCTGTCAATATCTACTCTAAATTGGAAGACAAGGCAATTTTGTTGTTCAATCAAATAACTTCCTAAATTATATAAATCGTTCAATTAGAAGAACAATAAAATTTTCACCTAAAACAAATACTATTAAAAATATTTTAAAATGTATGACGTCAAACTGGATAGGAAAATATTATATTGATGATGCTGACATTTATATTGTTTTGATCTGTCATCGATTCCGCGAAAAATCAGATACAAAGATAAAATGTACCGTGTCAAAATTGTTTTTTAAAAAATTACTGAAAGTTCTTATGATGAATCATCTATATTTTTAGAAATTCTCTCTGATGATGAACGCCCTAGTTGTCCCAAGAAAAGTCCGTCTAATTCACGGTAAAATCTACTACACAATCATAACTCATTTGCTTTCTAGAAATAGGTAAAGAAACGCCTGCTTGCATTGGCCTCAACTAGAAAATTATGACGTTTAACTCTTTCCCTTGTCAAACCTAAATCCCGGCTTCTACGCTCATGTGTGAAAAAGCAAATGCGCCACTGGAATCAATGAAGTCGCCCCGGAGCGCCAATTAATTTTTATTGTTTTATAATTTCATGATTTGCAATATATTCTTTGATATTAAAAACATTTTGCACAATTTGAAACTAAATGGTTCGCTGTGGTTTCACAATCATCTAATAACTTCAATGTGAGTTAGTACCTAAATTATCAATTTCCGATTGCTAAAGAATACCGCAAGTATAATTAATATACATTCTGATTCAGAAATTGAAACAAGTGATACTCACAGAAATAAATGCCACCTCCAACAATGCAAACTGCTGAGAATGTATGAATATTCCAAAAATGTATGACAACACAAAGTAAAATCATTGTGCGAAAACGACATGCTTTCATGTCTTATGTCTTATTTTGAAGTCGCGATAAAAGTTCACATTCACACATGGGGGCTGGTAGGCCGAGATCGAAAGGAACCTGAAGTACCAAACGTTTCGTCTGATACTGCGGCAGCCATCATTAGTGATATGTGCGTTGTCTGTGAGAACCAAGATTATATTTCGAAATTTCGAAGCGACCAACTCGTGAGCCACGCGTTTCCTGGTATTTATAATTTCAGAGGATGGTGGGGGTATTGATGGCTATGGTGGTGTGGCTGATGATAGGGACTATGACGAGGCGTCCATGCAAATGCTCTGCATGGACGCCTCATCATCGCTGGAATCATAAATACGTAGATGCTGAGACTTCGAGATACAACCTTCGTCATCGCAGTCAACGCACATACTACTGATGATTTTTGCCGCAGTAACAGACGACACGTCCCATTCGACAACGGCCTACTAGCCCGGGTTTTGTTCTCTTTAATCATGACCCCGGCCGTGAAAGCCTATGCTCTTATAAAGTGTCCATTTGTTCAACATGTCTTGCAACACACACGTTAAATCGTGTATACAGTCGTACAGTTTTCAACATGAGCTGAATAGGAGTGTTGCAAACACTCGTGCTTGAACTTGAGCTCCTCGCACTTGTTACTCAATATACTATCATTCTGTTACAATGACATATTTTTACTTGGGACAACTAAGGATCATCTGTTCAAACATAAATATGTATGTTATTAACAATTAAATATATTAATCTGTGATATATTACTTTAAATAATTATTATTTATATATGATTGTATCTATACAACTAGATGAATCTGATATGTGCAAATAAAAATAATCTGTCACTAGAGTGTTTCTATCTAACGAATTTTGTAATAACAAAACTAAGTTTTGGTTGGAAAATGATTGCTATATTGAACTTAGATTACATCCAACGCCTGCTCTGTGCGACTACTTTCTGATATAACCTCACTCCTTCCTCTTGTGCCAAATCAGATCTTGAAAACACTGCTAGGTTGTTTATGCGAGGATATAGTGGATTTGACAGAATACAGTTAGAAGAACTGATTTAATAAGAGCAGGATCAAAGATGTAGCTGGATTTCATTATAGCGATCAGTTTCTTCAGGAAGCGCAACATTCAAGACGCCACCTATCAATTCAACTAATAATCTTCAAATTATAATCTCTACGTACTGATTGTGGGGCACGTTGGACCTGGCTTCCTTATCAGAGTCGGGTCTGAGCATATTCTCGGTCATAAATCTAGCATCTATAGTTGGAATGGGGGCCATTTGCGGTATAGGGGCACAGTCATGAGGTAACTGGAAAATAATAATAACTGAATTCAAACCAGTATCACAAAGAATCTGCACACTCATAATGGATGGGAAGTATCAGTATTTCAGAAATTAAGGTAAAAATAAAAGAACAATAAACTAGACTATTTTGAAGAAATACAATCTGAATAATGTATCACAAACGTGCGAATAGAGGACCTGATACTGATTCGAATAATTTCTTGGACGGAATAATTAGAGCTCATTTCGGGTCACCGAAACCAAAAAATAAAATAATGTTGACACATGTTGCCATGGGGCAACCCCGTGTCATTTATTTAATTGTTTATTAGGCGCCCTTACCAGTATGCGTCCCTTGAAAAGCACGAACTTGTATTTTTGTTTTAAATTATCTATATAATCAACAGTATTCTCATAAGAACAAATATAGATCTTGAAGAGATATTATACAAAGAGCAACCTTTAAAAAAGTGCAAACAAAAAGAAAGAATACTTCAACATACACATACAGGGTGTAACATAAGTGCGTTAAAATATTCAAGTGACGTAGTCCTAAGACAATTTAAAAAAAAAGTTCATTGGAACTTGTGTCCGAAAATGTTTCGTTTCGAAAATACAGGGTGTTGAAATTGATTTTCTGTTCGTTTTTTAAAAATTACTTTTGCAAAAAATAAGTTATTTTCACGAAGTTTGGTACCCGGGTTTTTTTTAACGTGGAAAATCAAAATTTCGTATCAATTTTCATGTAACATTTGAAGGGCGCTGCGTACGCTGTCATTTGTTTCAAATTGTCCTAACTTTTTTGACACTGAACTTTTGGTACTTTTCATGAAAAAACTAATTCCCACACCTATTCCTTAGGACGCTAAGTGAAGTTGCTGAGAACATTACAAAACCTAAGATGTTGTGGATTTCGTCAAAATAAGTAACTTTTTCCTGTAAAATGTTTATCGAAAAATCATTCTTTTTCGATATTAGATTGTTGGTTTTTGTCGCATGGTATACGTATACCATGCACCTGTGGAAAAGTTAATACCAGTACCACCAAAATATCCATGGGTATACAAGGCTGAATGAACATCAGAGAAACTGTAGATTAGGTCAAATAGACAAATCGGCAGTAGCGGAACACGTGCTTAGAGAAGGAGATCACACGATACTGTTTGAAGATGTGAAATTACTAGCCCCCGATCATGGATACCACAGTCGGCTTGTACAGGAAGCCATAGAAGTCCATAAACATACGGAAAACTACAACAGAAAAGAGGAGGCGGTAACGCTTAAACTAGATTTGGAATCTCATACTAAAAGATGCTGAAGTGGCAACAGCGCCAAGCAATATTACATCATTAACAGGAAATAACACTTCGGCCAAAAGCAAAGCACCAACAAGAGATGCGAACTACCTGAGTCAACATAAGGTTTATTCTGGTTCTAACATCCGAAACTCTTTGGAATCTGTGCAAGACATGATGCGTACGAACAAAAAATTTCAAACAGTCAGAAATAATCTCCGACACTTGGTTAAACCAGAACGCATTTTGAGGAGACCATTGTGCCACCTATCGTATATATGAAGAGATAAAGATGAGAAAATAATGTTGATTATGTCCATTTTGTTATGTAGCGTGTCCTTGTAGTCAGTTCAAATGTTATCTAACCCCAATCATCAATTATTTAAATCAAATAAATAAAAAAAACAGCCTAGAAAATAGCCCAAACAAATTTCCATATGAACGCGCATAAACAACGAGAACAGTTCTCAACAGTTCAGCCCCGAGAACAAGAACGATTCAAAACGGTTCAAGACAGTTTAGGATCATTACACAGTCGAAACCAGAACAGAGGATTTATCAATCCAAACGTATCCTCAATAAACCAGGACACTATATCAACTGCACATGATCCTGACGTCCTAAAACCTGAATTTCGTAGAACCAGAACAAACCTAAAAATACAACCTTAGGATGCAGTTCCAAACTACAACGGCCTTCAAACCCGAATGGAGTTAGTAAAACTGACTAAGAACATGTTTTTGTATGACTTGAACGACATTGTGACTGATTTTAATGGTGAACCTTGCAAAAATAGTTCTTCGAAGTGGGCTTTTCTCAAAATACAATTGAGCTAACTGAAATTTAAATAGATTTTGTTGTTGACTGCTTTGGGAAATAAATACAATGAATAAATAATATATGATTCTTCTAAATTTTTATTTAATATCTATTGAATCTTATTTTCGAAATTTCAATTGTATCGGAAGACTGACACTCCAAATTGAGAAATTTGAACATTACTCAAAGTTAGCGCTTCATTATTACTTAAAAAAGTGTTTGTTAATCAATTAAGACAAAAATATATGATTTTTGCCATTTGTCGTTGATGGGGGAACACGATATCTAGATTTTAGTGTCCATTCTCAAGTCTCGCCAGCTACTTTTCAATATTATGCTCAGTATTCACATTCTATCCACAGATTACAAAAACTACATTGTTAACAGTTTTCCCCGTTTTTTATTTACTTCAATAAACATCCACCTGAGCGCTGTACTATACTTTAATTGTGCTATTGCTGAATAGATGGCAGTTGGCACAATCGAAACAATTTATCTTATTAGTCGACATTAATTTATATTATGATCCAAGTGAAGTGTCGCCCGTGAAATGAATTTTTTGGTTGTGGTTCTTTCAAAGACAAAACACAAGCACAACAGGAAAATCCTTGAGGTACTCTCAAAGCGGTGCCTGTGCGAAAGTAGCGATTGACTTTGGATTTGAATCGTTGGAGGTTGAATCCATTCGAAAAAACGTTCTCAGGAAGTTTATTGTCACTTGAACATCTCCCGTGAAAGTATATATAGAAGAGAGACACATCTCTAACCTTTCTTCGATGTTCCAGGCTATCAAGGTTGCACGTGATGTTCGCGTCTCCAATCAGCCGGATGGCTCTTTTCTGAATGGAATCCAGCAACTTCAGGGTATGTTTAGGGGCCAGAGCTCCATACATGAGAACAGTACTCCAAAGAAGGTCTAATCTGAGCTTTATAAGGCATCAAAAGTTGCTGAGGTGTGTACAGTTTTCTGGTTCGGAACAGTGCTCCAAGCTTTTGAGAAGCAGCCTTTGCAATTCCAGCGACATGATTGTGCCAAGACATATTGGTGTCCATCTGAACCCCCAAGAAACTTATCGAAGCAGAAAGCGGAATTGTCTGACCTGACATTATTATATCCGATTCGGAGACATTTATCTTCTTGGAGAAAACCGATGCCTGGCTTTTTGTGGTATCGAATTGAACCTGGTTACTTTCACCCCAATTCGAAATCACTTCTAAATCCTCATTAAGATATGCAACCTCCTGCTGCCGGTGAAGATGTGCCTCCGTAGCCGATATCCTGGAATCCAAATGGAATAACCAGATAAGTGTGCTGTCGTCAGCAAAGCAATACTCGTATATTGGTTTTTTCCAATAAGTCGTTGATATACAATAAACAGAGGGTTAGAGACAATATGGATCCTTGGGGAACACCAGCGTTGATGATGAAAGTATTTGAGAGATATCCATCGACAGCCACTTGCAGGAAACGTTTTTTGTTGTTGTTTATTCACCTATTGTCTTGGCATGGGCATTGTAAGAGACTTGACCACATAATGAAAGGATATACAAGTATAGCAGTGGTTTCTGCTGCATTTCAGTGGTTCTTCTATTTCAAACCTTTTTTTGACCAAGTTGTGAACGTTATAACTTTTGAATTGGTCATCTGTTGGACGAAAAATCATAAATAGCAACTCAAAATGCAGCAAAGTCTACCATAATTTGCGCCCCACCCGAATTTGCATCACTCCAAAAAGTTTAACCGTTATATGGTTCAACCATATTCACCATTATAATCGACTTTTTCGCAAAAATTATTATAATATTAGCAAAAACAGTGTGGCGAATCTTTCAGTAGTTAAAAAATATCGACTAATTTCCCAGGAGAATGCAAAGATGGGTGAAACAGATATATTCAGTAGGAGAGTAGGAAAAGTTGATCACGAGCATATTATACGGTACGGAACTATTAGGTCAATTACCACCGTGTCGATGACGAATGGAGAAAGCAATGTAATCTTTGCCTTTTACATTTACACATTTTCGAAACCATTTTCGAGATGTGTATATCAGAATCAGAATGTTTACCGTAATTAATAATGGCAACAGATACATGAGGTGCAATGGGGCAATGGACTACTCCTCTAAATGGCGGAACGATACCTCCAAATAACCTGCCAATGAATGATGAATATTATTCAGAGTAGGGAATGTCATATGACTGTACAAATCCAAAAAAAAATGGCCTTAGGTTAGAAAGAAGATGGAAAGATCCCTTTGATGATAGTCTACAGCGTTCAAATAACTTCCACAAACTAGTCAATGGTGGTCCGGCTCACTATAATGACAACAATCTTTTTCAATTGGTTGAGTCACAAACAAGGATATGAGTAATCTAGGATGAAGTAATTTGAAACACTGGTTTAAAAGGAAGTTCAAAGAAGCTGCATATATGTTGTCCAACGATGCATTTAGCCAAGCTAGCTTAGAGATACGCACCATATGGAAATCTGTAAAAACTCCTGCTTCGCTGGTGAAGCGAAGAGAGGGAAGAGAGGATAGGTGAAAGCGCTCGAATGACCTTTAAATAGTAATTTCTCGAGGGAATAGTTCAGTCCAGATTGTGGATACTGACAATCGAAACGTCGTGGAGTAACTTGACTCGAAAACAATTATTTTTTCAATTTTTTTTATTTCCATTTCAATTTTTTTAATTTATTTTTCTATTTTTTCATTTTAATTTCTTTTTTCTCTGTGGTCATTTTATTTTATTGATTTTATTGTATTTTCATTTCACGTTTTATTGCTTAATATAAGTGATATTTTAGCTATTGATTCTAATTTTATTTGTTTTTTCATGAATTTCGAGTCATATTAAAATCATATTAGACAATAAAAGTACGAACTAGTAAAATTCAACATTATAATAGGTACGTTAAGAGAACAAGAGGATTGCTCCGAATTCTTGGGGTTCTTGTTGAATACTCTTCGTGAACAAAAAAATAACAGAATCAATACATCTGACCGCTCTGGATTCAATGATTCCGTACAGTCTCTATCTCGTCTTGTGTTTGTAGATCTTTTGCTGGAAAAATCCTCACTTGTTTACTTTGTAGTAAATGTTCAAAAGGTAGCAAAAACGTATATGATTTTCTGGAACTTCAACTAGCGTTTCCTAATATGCCTGATAACTAGTCCGTGCAAAGCTTATTGCTAAATCATCTGAAAATAGAACTTGTAACGGGTGATGATCAACTGTATTGCCAAACATGCGCCAAACTAACTGACAATTATAAGATAACAAGTATTTCTGAGGCACCAGTCAATCTAATAATAACACTGATGATCTTCAAACATGACTCAACCTCTGACGAAAGCACCAAAGTCTTACGAAGGTTCGAAATAGATGAACACTTCAATCTAGCAGACCACTATTATAATATTCATGCAGTCATTGTTCACTGTGGTTCTGACGTTGAATTTGGTCATTATTACGTCTTGGTAAAAGACGAAACGGACTGGTTTAAGTTTGACGATAATCGTGTCACGAAGTGTTCTGGCGATGTATTGAATTTATTGGAGCCTCTGAGGACACCCTACATTTTGTTTTATGAAAGAGAGGGCATTGGCAGATCAAGATCTTCAGATGATGTGGTGCTGCAGGTTTTTCCGGATTTATCTGCAACCGAAAAAGCAAATGCGCCATTGGAATCAATGAAGTCGCCCCGGAGCGCCAATTATTTTTTGTTATCGTTTCATAATTTTATGATTTGTGTTACTTTCTTCTTTAATATAATTTGGAAGTCTTGGGGTGTGAACTAAAATTTGAAAATAAGCTCTTTCACCTCTTAATTGAAGCTTTCAGAAGTGAAAGTTATCAATCCATTTTTTTCAAATACGTACCAGTTGCTGCTGTATTTGCTGAGGTGACAGGGCTCCAGGAGGTGGAATAGTCGGATAATAGTTCGTCGGAGACACCGGAGGACTCGGGTAGGGCCAATAGAATATTTGTGGATGCATAAACTGTCTCGGGTCAATGGTAGCCGCCAGCTGTAGAGGTGCGTAACCCGGAAAATTGGGTCCAGGATGGAATGGCGTCGGCAAAATATTACCACCTAGATTTGAAAAATTAGTAATATGTAAACTGTATAGTTTTTGTTTTCATTCACTTTGAGATTGAATTGGGCCAGAACGTCGGTATTGCCTTTGAACATCCAATTACCTAAATTCAGCTTTTAAGTAGATGTCAAATATTTTCGAACTGACTTAGCTGAGCAGATGAGTTTCTGAAGGTGTCAAATATATGTCAAGTATTTCTTCATTGAAACTGTCAATAAAATTTCTGACAAGGCGTTGAAAAAATACTTAATTTTCTTTCAATTATTCAGAATAATAAAAAGATGGCCTATTTTTCGAAATAACTCTTATTGATATTTGTTACTTTATTTGTAGACTGCCACTCGTTATTCTCTCCATGTACAGCATCTCTAGAAAGTTTAGAAAAAAGGAACCAAAATTCTTGAATATTAATGAAAATTCTTTGAGGAAACATGTAGATCATCCACAGATGGCAAAATTCATTTCACACAACAATTTTTCTCACAAATAATAATCACATTTTCTTTCCTCAGTTTTTATACTTATCATCCATTGCATGAATTTTGAAGAATTCAGAATATTGAATAATATTTTCCCGGAAACACCTTTTTATATTCCTAACAGAGAGTTCGTTATCAAAATATAAATACGGGTTAGTCTATCGAAAACGTAACTAGTTCATGACATTCAACTCAATAAGAGAGAATGTCATTCGTTTTCGTAAAATCGGTTCCCTTGTTTGAAAGATATGCAGCTTTTTGAAATGCTAATAATAATTATATAGAAACTGCAAAAATTGAATTTATTTCAACCGTCAACCTCCAATCAATAATACAGATTATCTACAAACCGTTGTACATTTTGGAGCTGTAGTGCTGTACATTTTGCACTCTTTCGTCCAACCCAGAGATTTCCCAAATCTGTTGTTTAAATAATCTTGCACATTTTTTTGAGCAGTAGCGGCCCTACACAATTTTTCATGTTGTGCGAGATCTCCTGATTTGGCGCCCCTCGTTATGTATATATTACTAGAGATGTGAAATTTCATTATTATTGTTGAAAAATCTAGCAAATATTGAATTCACAAGAATCAACGAAATACTTTCTAAACAATATTATTGTATACAATTCAACAGCCAAGTCAAATACTTGAAAAACTTTTTATTATAATTTTTTCCGCAACTCTCAAGCTTGCAAAACTACAACTTTTTGATCCACTGTTATATGGTTTTTGCAATTTCCTGGGCACGGCATGTCTCAATTTAAGAATCGCACGATAAAAAGTGAGACCTTGGTAATCCTTAGCTCGCCTAAATATCGACTTGTGAGGGTTTTTGTTTGTAAGGCTCTGATAGCTAAATAACAAAAAACAGATTTCAACAAACTTCATTAGCTCTTGATTTGTTAATAAGAGAGAGGCCTATTTACAAAATTATTTCTACATTTCAAAGGACCACAACTGTCTGTTTCCACAATCTTCATTTTTTAAATTATATCACTTCTACCACATACAGAATTGAGCAAGTATCCAATAGTAATATAGCTATAGGAGTTCTATGACATTCCTAATGGAGAAACACGTGCAAATTTGAGCAGATTCATTCTGGCGATTTTTGGATCTTAGACCCAGTTCACACAGATTGGAAGGGACAAATGTCCGCGCCTCGTCTCTGCCAGACGTCCATTCTGTGTGAATTGGGCCTTAGACTTTCAAAGTCCACTCTTTCACTTTTGCCGTCATTCAGTCGACCAATCAGAAGCTACCATTTACTGCGGGAAATTCAAATCAGTAGATAAACAACACCGGTTCTAGCGCAAAAGCCCATGACTTTTCTTATGACGCTAAATTTTTTGCAATTTTCATGACATCCGATCGGAACCTTGTGGAACACCCAACTCAAGGTAGGTGTGTTTCAGAATGGGAGTGGAAGAGAGAAACGTGTGACGTAGTCAATGCAGAAAAGGATGGAATGAGTATCGGAGCCCCCTTGTCGCGTACCAGTCAAGTGGTCATCAGCAGCTGAGGAAAATTAATAAAAAAAAGCGATCGGTATGGGAGTTGAACCCACGTCATCGGCGTGGTAGGCTTAGCATTATTAACACAAACGTGGGATATTGAAAGAAATTGCGGATCGTTGATATTTATGGCGGTTGTTTCGTCTCGACCGAAATTGACTTATTTTTCTATACTTACCCGCATTTTTTGAAACCAGTAGAATTTTACGGAAATGTGACGTCATTTCCATGTAGAATATAGGGAAATATTCTTAGATTCGGGAAAGAATTGATGTTTCATAAAAAGGTGTATGTTTAATCCACACAGAATAGACATTTGGCAGAGACGAGGTGCAGACTTTTGTCTCTTTCATCTGTATGAACTGGAATCGAGGTCAAAAACCGCCAGAATGAACCTGCTCAAATTTGCATGTCTTTTTCTATAAGGACTCCCAATAACTGATAAATTCAAAAAAATATAATTACTTCACCACCATAGACTTTGCCTATCTTTTGGCAAGCACCTGAATGGCAAAAGCCACAAATTTTTCCAAAGGAATTCAACTTCAACATATAGATTAAAAAAAAAATTTTTTTACTTCAAATTGGTTCAGTTTCATTATTTGAAACGTATTGCTGTCTTTTCAAACTGGGGATAGAAACGAAGTGTATGAGTATGACATTTTACCTGACTCATTGAAAGACGTGTGCCGGAGAAATGTATGTTGCAAAGTGACACAAAATATACAACAGATTGAAGATAAACTATACCACTATATTGAGTTTGGCGGACAACATCTTAGCATTACTTTCAATAATACGGCAAGTTTGTGAATAAAATCCATAAAATTTTTGCATGTTTCAAAAAAATTGGAGGATGACTTCCTTGCTCATAAGGTTGAAGATTTTGCAAACTTGACCTGTTTCTGGATTTTTGCGAAAAATTCTTTCTCTGACAGTTATGCCTTATGGACCACCCTGTATTATGAGTAGAAACTGGTCCTGTGTTTTGTTTCATACATTTCATTAAATGCAGAAATTTTTAATTACCACAATGAAAAAACTTACCTGATTCTGGAAGAAAAAATAACTAAATCTATTTACAGCAATACACACTCCGAAAAGAAGTCATAACACGTTCGATTTATAGCATCTTGTAGCTAAATTTATAATTTCTTCCTGTGTGTATAGAGGACTTTTTTTTAATTATTTCAGATAAGCCAAAGCCTTTCTGGTTCAGAAAAGTGTCTGTACTACAATATCCCATCAAAAGGAGGTTGTTGGGAAGAAATGAATTAACATTTCCAAAAATTTGTGAAAAATATTGGTGAATACATATCGTCAATATTACAACTTTAAATTTTTTTAGGTAACTATTTGGGTGGAAAACAATAAAAGCTACCTTAGGTAACCCTTGTCCACTCCGTGACAAGCCAAATTCTAAATAAGTGGCCAATAGGTATTCATTGCTGAGAATATTCAGTAGGTAATTAAGGGCCACTTTAACAGTAACTTCCTTTTTTTTTTCAAAATTTGATGCTTTTCTTGGGTCTTTGAAACAGTGTCGAATAAAAAACTTATTTACTTTCAGCTTCTCCGTTTTTATACAAAAACTGTTGGAGATATACAGTGCTTTTCTTCAATTNTGATATTCTAGGGTTGTGAAGTATTCGTCAGGAGCTTCAAAATGATGTGTCAAAAGACCCCCCTTTCCATTTAATTTCTTTTCCCAGATGGCGCCCAGTCGCAATCTTGAAAGTTTCATCTGTCAATTTCACTTCAAAATAAAGTATTCATGCATTAATTTCATCATCCCAAATTTCAATTTTTGAGTTGACCCGTTAAAAAATAAAAGGGGGGCATTAAAGAAATGCACTGTATAAAAATTGATGAGTAGAACGCCGAAAAGCTTTCTTTCCCAAAAACTAATCTCACCTAAAGAATGTAGTAGTTTCTAACATACGTGGACTGTTCAAAAAATAAGGTGAATGTTCAAAAATCGCGGGGTACAAACATCTGATTGGCGATCAATGGATCAAAGAATTTGCATCAAATGTTCAGTATAAAATGGAATTGAGAGCTCAAAAACATTCGAGATGTTGTCAGTGGCATACGGTAATTGTACTCTTGAGTCATTAAAATGTTAACAAGTGGTACAACCTTTCAACAGTCACGTCACGGCGATCCAGATTTACTTAAAAGAGTCATAACTGATGACGAGTCATCAGTATATTGTTGAGTTATGACATCGAAACCAAAGTCCAATCATCCCAATGGAAGAGCCCAGGAGGGCCAAGACCAAAAAATCACGCCAAGTTTGATCAAATATCAAGATTTTGCTCATTGTTTTCTTGAATCACTGTAGCGTGGTGCATCAAATTCTTGCCACATGGTCGATGGTCAATAAGGAGTGTTATCTTGAAGTTATGCGCCCCATGCGATAAGCAATACAAAGAAAACTTCCGGTATTATGGAAAAAAAATATGTTTTTTGCATCACGATAATGCACCTGCTCACTCGTTATTACTTGTTCGTAATTGTTTGCCCAAAACAACACCGTGACGATGCGTCAGCCACCATATTCCCCAAGATATTTCCCAAGATATTGAAGAGATCCATGAAATGACAGCGTTTTGCGATGATTGAGGAGAAAAAAACCGAATTAAACCCAAGGACAAAACGTGCATCATGAATTGCTTTGAAGGGGCATAATAGAAATTGATGAATAAATAGATGTTTTTGAGAAAAATCAAAATTCACATTATTTTTTGAAAAGACGGCGTATATCTTGATATTTCCAATCCAAATTCTTGTTTCAGTTGATACATCAAGAAGAGTACTTCGACCACACCACTGAAGATGACTGCCGCAGTGGCAGTTGAAACGTTTGGAGAATATGACCAAAGAAGATCACGACAAAACCCGGAAACCAACCAAAACATTGACGCCAGCCGTGAAAACCTACATTCCTATACCAAATGTTCTTATTATCAAAATTTTTTCTTTGATTGATGACTTTTGG